GAGACACTTTGAATCAGCCAGTAGAAGTAAAATTATTCAATATTTTAAGTTTTTAAAATAATAGTACCAGTTGTTGATCTGGGTTTTTTTTTTTTTTTCCCTCCTCTTGATCCTTATATTGTAAAATTCTTGGAGGAATTGAAAGTGGTTTTCTTGTTCCCCATTTAATATAATGTTAGGTCTCTACTTGAAAAAAATCTGAATCTGTAATTTTTATGTAAATTTAAGCTGTTCTTTTGAAACACTAGAATGGTTAAAAAATAACTTTGCTCAATGTCATAATGAAGGGATACTGTAAAAAAATATATTGAAAGCAAGCTAAAATTTCTAACATCTAACAATTCTTACTATATATACATATGGACAAAAACATAAGAAAATACAAAGATAAATGGAACAGATAGTAAATTAAAAGTCAGTGGTTGGATATATCCCTGAGTAATTATTTAGATTTTTATACTGATCTGAATGTGTATGTTGGAAAATGGCTATAGGCTTAGTTTGATTCTTTATTTTCCAATTCTTTGAGGGTAAAGTTTTACGTATTTTTACTTGAGATCTTTCTGTTTTTGACATAGGCATTTATCACTGTGTACTTCCCACTGAATTCTGCTCTTGCTATACCCTGTAGTATTAGTATATTGTATTTTCATTTGTCTCAAGATACATTTTAATTTCTCTTTTGATTTCTTCTTTGACTCACTGGTTGTTCAAGGGTGTGCTGTTTAATTTGTACATATTTGTAAATTTTTCCAGTTTCCTTCTGCTGTTGATTTCTAGTTTTATTCCATTGTAGTCAGAAAAGATACTTGATATATCTTCTTAAATTTAAGGCTTATTATGTGACCTAAGATGTGATCTATCCTAGAAAATGTTCTATGTGTTCTTGAGAATAATGTGTGTTCTGCTGCTGTTGGTTGAAAACATTCTATATATGTCTGTTAGGTCCCTTTGGTTTAAAGTATTGTTCAAGTCTTCTCTTTCCTTATTGATCTTCTGTCTGGTTCTATCCATTATCGAAGTTGGGGTATTGAAATCTACTAATACTTTATTGCTGTCTGTTTTCCCTTCAGTTCTGTCAGTGTTTGTACACTTAAATGTTCTGATGTTGGGTGCATGTATACTTATATAATTGTTGTATCTTTCCGGTGAATTCATCCTTTCATTATTATATAATGTTCTTCTTTGTCTCCTGTGACACTCAAGATACGTTATCATTATTATAATCTAAATTCTTGGCTTCAGAGATATGTATTCCTGGTATGTTTCTGATCATGAGTTTTCCTGGAAATCTGCACATTCGTATGTTTGCCAAACTGCAGAAGCTGAGCAATGCATTTGCCTTGTTCTGAATCATAGTAACAGTACCTCTGTTTTAATAGACTTTTAGTCCTCATCAGCAGTTTGTCAGTCACTTTCTTTCACATTCTGTAACTTTTTTTTTTTACCATAATCATCATTCAGTGGTTAGAGCATAGCTCTAATTTTCATCTTTACAGTCTAATATGTTAAGGAAAAGAAGAGACAGAGCTGTGGATATTGTATGGATTATATTAAATACACTCACTTTTCTTATTTTCTGTTTTTTTCAATTAAAAAAACTATTCATTTATTTATTATGGAGGTACTGGGGATAAATAGAACCCAGGACGTTGTACAGCTAAGCACCTGCTCTGCTACTGAGCTATCAGCCTCCCCACAAATATACTCATTTTTCAAAACAAAGCAGACAAAAAACTCTGACCTTATTTCCCCCTAGGCAATTCGAAGTTTTCAAGTAGCCCTTCACATCTATCCAATGAACCCTGAAATGTGGAAAGAAGACCTTTCTTGGGCAAGAACACTACAGGAGCAGCAGAAGGTAGCACAGAGGATTAAAAAAAGTGACGCATCCGCAGAGGTAACGCAGTTCTCACCAAAGTCAATTCCTGACTATGACTTTGAAAGTGATGAGATTGTTGCTGTTTGTGCAGCTATTGCTGAAAAGCAGAAGACGGTTTCCGCAAGTAAAACAATGGTTATCGTGTCGGCATCCGGGACTGTGGAGACTGTAACTGAGGAGGAAGATGGTGCTGCACCTCCAGATGGCTCTGTTTTTATCAAAGCCCGGTGAAGCTTAGCAGGCAGAGTTTGAGTCTGTGTTGTCACTTACACAGTTTTAGGCATAGGGACATTTATTCTGGAGAAACAGGGTAAAACTCCTGTTTGTAAAATATGTTTTTCAGATGAGGCATATGAAAACTAAATGAAAGAATTATTGTACAGTGTTTGGACTGTGCTTTCATAAGTTATGTTTTCAGCTTCTTAAGATTAAAATTCTGAGTACAGTGGGTTTTGATTAATAAACTTAATTTAATCCAGATATATAAGTGAATGCATTTTAAAGACAACTTGGAAAGTACATTCTCAAATAGTGAATAACTTCATGGCCAGTGTTATTAAAATGTTGACTTGTTGACTTTGTGTTCTGATTAAGGAAGTAGGTGATATCTTTCCCTGATACAAAGATACCACTGCTGCTGTTCACTCTTCTATTTTTCTTGTTTCATTAGAGTAGAGTCACAAAGCTTGAATCTTTTTGACATTCATTTTGATTCAAAGTTGGTTTTATGTGGAATCTTCGAAAGTCCAGCTGGAAATGCATGCAAATATGTACATTCTGAACATCTTCTGAAGTTTCTCTTAATTCTGATTTGTGCTTATGTTTTGACTTAAAATTATAACAATGGTAAGTTGCCACCTTCAGTATTTGTTAAATGTGTGAAGTACTGTTAAATGTCAGAATTTTTTTTTTAATATTAAAGTAGATAGTCCTTACCACAAGCAAGTCATTTTTAAGATGTGCATTTTTTTAAATGAGTGGCTCTTACGGATAAATCATAACAAATTGTACTGCTATATTGTCCCAGTCAAAAGCAGTATTTTCTTTTCCTTGCTTTTAAAAGGTTAAAAATCTTGAACATAACTTAATTTCTTTCTTATAACTTTCTAGCTGATGATTTAGAATTCCTTTTCTAGGTAACTTTTCTAGAACTAGTCAGTGAAATGAGAAACAATCACGGTTTTAAATAGCTAAATTATATCTTTCTATAAATTAAAATGTAGGAGTGTTATTAAAGTGCCAATGAGTGAATACCTTAGGCACAACATACTAGAAACTGAAATGTGATCTACAGTGCAATCCCATGGGTAAAAGAGGATATATTGAAGAGGATATTTCATTGAAAGGCTACAGTCACATCCACAAATCAATACTGTCATTGCTAATGTTAATTATTATTTTTATACTACGTATGTTATAGTACAGTTATATAGAACTGCTGATATTGTTACTTCTGAAACTCAGGAAGCTATTATTAGTTGAAAATTAATTTTATACTTGTTAGAGATGAAGTAAGCTTCTTTATTTTAAGGAATTTTACCTTACCCTCTTGGAGCATGTGCATAATTGAGTACATTTTTCTGCGATGGTTTAGAGAACATTTCTTTTAGTGGAATGCTTGCCTCTTTTTTTAAGAGTTGGAGAAGTCAGCATTTGCATTGGAAAGTATTATATTTTTCTCCAAAGTTATACCAGAAAGTTAGTTCTTGTTAGAGAGATTAGTTTTAGAATGATCCAAAAAACAAATATTAATTATACTTTATTTTGTTGAATAAGGAATATTGTCAAACGGTGGATAGTTGGGTATCTAGAGGGGTGAGCACTTACCATCTGTTGTTTTGAGTAATGAGTATTTGTTTATTGTG